TTCTGAATCCAAAAGGCATAACTGTGTACTCGTAACTCCCGTACCGAGTCTGAAACGCCGTCTTGTAGCAGTCAGCTTCATTCCCGTGGATTTGGTGGTAACTGCCTCGCAGGCCAATCTTCGAGAAGAATTTGGCTCCGCGAAGTTGGTCGATGAGTTCGTCGGCACGCGGGATAGGATAGCGAGACTTGATGGTAACCCGGCTCAAGGTGCGGTAGTTAATACACATTCGTAGACCGTCATTTTTATTCAGAGTGAACAGTATGGGAGCTGCAAACTGTTATGTGATGCAGCGAACGAAACCTTTTTCGAGCAGGTAGTCCAGCTGGCTTCGAAGCTCATCCAGCTTTGGCTGAGTCTGCCGCCATTGAGTCCGAACAATAGGCTGCGCGCCGAGCTCCAGTTCGATTTTGTGGTCATGTGCTCGCTCAGGTGGCAAACCCTCTGGTAGGTCGTCTGGAAAAATGTCAGTGAATTTTCTGAATCACCATCGCCAAGGCATCCGGGATAGCTTCGCAGAGTTTGTCTATGTCTGTCAGCGTGTCGACAGCCGCTGATGCAATCCATCGGTCGGCATACAGTCGAAATGGTTGAATCTTGACAGCTCCACTTGGGTAGTCGTTGCCACTCGCCACTCCATTTTATGCGACTATCGCCCGTCCGCCAGTTAATGCCCAGGTTGTATTCGCGCAGCTAATCGCGTCTTAGCAACATGTCGCAACCGTCCAAAGTTGTCGCCAGCATCTTCGTCGTGAAACTGAAATTTTTGTCGCATGTAGCTCGCACGTGAGGTACCCTCTTCCGAATTGCCAGTGGTGTGTCGTCAACCAATCTTGCGTCGATCTCAGGCATGCAACGCTCCAGCTGCAATCTCAATTTTTTCGCCTTTGTCACATCCATCAAACTGTGGCTCGCCCCGCCATCAACGAATATTTAGATGCGGGTGTCGCCAACTCTTCCTTCAACCAGCACAGGGCGATCAACCGGTTCACCCCCCTTATTCGGCCAGGAATGGTCAATAGCCCAAATCGGCACTATAACCTGGTGGGGGTGGTGGCGATTGGGCGACGCAGTCAAGTCAGTAGGTGGTCCGTCTACTATTGACAATCTCCATTTCCCGATTGCTTCTCGTCGTTAGCTAAGTTCTTCTTTAGCTGCGGGCAGTCCCTCACCATGTGGCCCGGCTGGTTGTAATGGAAGCAGGTTCCCGAAAATACTCGGGTTGCAAACACGTCCATGCCGTTGATTGATGTATGTCGGGGCTGGCCTCAAAAGCGATTTCCCTCCCGGAAACCCACTCTCCCGAGTCCACGTCGTGCGTCCAGCGCGTCTACTATGTGAACTATTTCATTGAATGTCGTCCGGGCTCGCAGGACAATCTCTTGCCGAATCTCCGACTTGAGACCACCCACGTAGCGATCGATGAGCTCGTCTTCGCTAAGCCTTCCGATTTGGTCGCAGATTGCCAGAAATGACGCCACGTATTCTTGGACTGAGCCCAAATGTCTCCACATCCGAAGCTTTGTGCGAGCATTTTCGCGCATGGATATGTGTTAGAATCTGCCCTTCAACGCTTCGCCCCACGCTTTTCACGTGCGGGTCGTGGCCGGCCCAAAGATCGGTTCAGCCTTTGCCGTTGATGAACTCAGCTCCCCATCTACCGCCCGTTGATGTCCTGCCGAGGCTCCTCCCTCATGTAGATGCATGCGCCACCAGTTGAGTGCCGGTCCCCTCAGCAGCGATACAGCCAAGTTGACACGTGATGCGTTGTCATTAATACTTGCTGACGTGAACAAGAATTCCATGGCGAACAGCCACCTGCTCTCTGTAGTTGTCATGTCGGTCGGGATGAACGGCAGAGGCATTGGTGGTTTGATTTCAATGGCCACTCGCGGCTCGCTATGGACTTCTTCAATTGCTTCAGGTCTCGCCGACGCCCTCGCTTTGCTCGCATCATCTTCGTTTCGGGTAACATGCCACCCCTGACGCGTTTCACCCCGCGTCTGGCGAAGCGACGAGTTTTCGTTGCACATCGGCTGTACTTCGCTTCCCAACGACTCGAACTTATCGGCAAGTTGTTGAATCTGGGCCTGCAGTGTCGTTACTGTAGCCGCCCTGGCTTGCAACTCGTCAAACTCCTCCTTAGTCACATTCCTAACACTACGACGGGCAGAGGTTTCCGGCATGGTAGACATGCTGGAAATTTACCTGACAGATCTGAGGGTGCACACGCTTTTAGTTGGAGGAGCTTAAACGAGCTCACCTACCAACCGCAGGCCAACCCCTTATTCTGTCGGATCCTCTCCAAATGTAAACGGACTACTCTATGGAAGACTAAGCGAGCAGGAACAGGGCTCTGATACCAGCTGTTATGAATTAATCAGAGGAATAACAGGTTGTGTAATAAAGGAGTCGTGATTCAAGAGTGTCGATACGAATGAGGGCCTATGCATTAATATGCACAAACAGAGCTAGTCGAGTACAACGCGAACATATTGGGGCAGTCCGGTTGGTGAAAACCACGGAAGCGCCGCGCGTCTAGGTTTGGGTTCACGAAATGGTTCGGGACCGAAGAAGTTGGCCAAGCCTGGACTTCCAGGAGTCGAGGGCGTACGCGCTTTAGTCGAGCCCGGTAAGGAAAAGGGAATTTCCTTGCAATATTGCATCTTCAGTTACTAGTAGCATTCCGCACTACACTTGCCATAAACGAACGAGCTGTTCATTGTACTGTTTGGGCAATTCAAGGCGTGCCAAGACACGGCACACGGGACGGTGGACAGATCATATTCACTGTTGTTAGCTGATTTTTTTTTACTGTCGCACGCCTCATTTTGCATCGGACAGAATACGGCACGTTGCATGCAAGCGACTGAAAGTGAGGCATTTACCTCTGTCGCCATCCATCTGGAGGTGTTCGCGCGCCAGTAGCAGTATTCGCAGGGTCGAATTTGTGCTTTGCGAAACAACGGGGCCGTTCGAATTTGTGAATGATTAGCAGCTTGAAAAGTTTCGACCCGTCCGCATTCACCAGCAGCGCGACTGTAAGCCGGTCCTTGCAGACCTTCTTCCTCGGGGTAGGGTCGATGCAGAATGTGTGGTCGGGTAGGAGACTGTAGTAGACGCAGGTCTCGTCGAAGTTGAGCAGGTTCTCCGGGGTCAGGCCAAGGTGGTCGCACAGCCTCGGGAAATGTAGTTGTGCGGTCAGCGCGGCGCCCATGTCGGCAGTCTTCGCCTCGCCGCTCATCTTACGCCACTTGAATCCCATTCGACGCAATGCTTTTTGAACCCATCCAACAGAAGCTTTGAACTCGCTGGGCACGTTGCACTCGGGTGCTAGAAGTATCGCGCGCTGCTGGATTAGAGCGGTTGAGACTGGCAAGCCAGCACCATTTGTGCTTTTCAGCCAGCTCTTGAGTCGAGCTTCTAGTAAAGGCCACTGTGGGTTACGCACCCTTTTGAACTTGGCGCGTTCGGGCTTGATGGCCCGCCACTTCTGTTCTGTTTGAAGAATTCGGCCGACTGTGCTACGATCCGGCCACAGGTCGTATCTGGTGTGGCACCAGCGCCCAATGTCTTCGAGCCGCAAGGTCGGATTCTTCTTCGCGTGCTGGCAGATTGCAACCTTCTGCCCGACGGAGAGCGCAGTTCGGCGAACAGGTGCCACGTGGACGACCTTGTGTGTCAGACGGGCTCGTTCCTTGTGTCATAAAAATGTTGCTGTTTGGGTTATACAAATAACCCCAAGGTGTCTGCATAGCTGGCGGAGGGAACGGTGTTGCGACCCCTCTGTTGCTTCCTTGGCGCGCTCGTATTGGCTGTGGGTTGACGGATTTTCCCGGGGCTACCCCGACGGATTCTGTTGGTGGCGTAATTCTACTGGTCCGTCAGCGAGGTGCTTTTATCTAGCGCATCTGGAGGATTTTTGCCTCAATGTTGGCTGGCGAGCCTCACACATTTGGATTTTTAGAGGCTCGTCGACCACTAGGTGTGGTCGCTCTGAAAACACAGGAGCAATCTGATTGGACGGCCTTGGATCAGCCGAATTGGCTGTCTAATTTACTGTTGAGTTGAGACACGTACACTTTGCGTACAAGGAGTGGCCCTTAAGGATAAAATCCCTATGGAGTACTCCTGGGCGTATAAGGAAGTCGTCTACAAGGCATATGACTTGTACGAGTGGGGCGAATGTCGCCACCTGGCTAGAACAGCTGACACGGGGACAGTCGACATGTCGTGGAGCGATCCCTCAGGTGGATCATCTTTTGCGTTGTGTCAAACTGCTGAAGTTTCTTTTCGCTCAACGTACTGCGAGCAACGCGACACTTGCAAGCGGTTGATGCTTGGGCAGTTGGGGGTTTCCTTTCCGTGGCCGATTTTTTTGTTACCTCCACACCCTGAGGGCGCGCGCGACATACACCCTGAGGGCGTGTATTTAAAAGGTGTCCTCCCGAAAAAAGTGACATCCGAGAATGTTGGAACTTCATCGCAACCGTTATTTTGAGACGTCAACAGTCGCGATGGGTTTCCAAATCCGTGGATGACACGTTTTTAGGATGACACCTTAAAAAAACACGCCCTCATATGCCAAGCCAAACGTCATGTTGTATCACCATTTTGAAGTGGGGGGTCGGGAATGTCATAAATATGCTGGGAACCAAGATTTTCGAGGTAGCAGCCTTTACTCCCACTATACCCTCTCCGTTTCCCCAGATACCGCTCCGCACACGCAAGTATAACGGCACTTGCGCACATACAATGGCGGGATGTGTGCACAACAGCAGCGCTCGCAAAGCGCGCTCCGGCGTGCGGGTGCAAAAGGGGGAGGTTGAGGCAACGGGAGGGTACGCAGGAGGTTGCACTAGCCGTCCGCTGGAAGCAGCTCAGGTGGTTCGAATCGCCCACCTGATGATGATCATCCAGAGCTCCCTTGACCTCACGCAAGCCCGTCTCGCCGCCTCGAGCCTCTCAAAGGTTATTCATGCGTATCGGTGATCGATTCAGTCGAAGCACTTCGCTGCCATCTCGCTCGAATGACCCATTCCTGTCTGCAAAACTCCGCTGGGAGAATTTGAGCGAGAATTGCCTGGTTTTCACCAGAGTCTGAAATCGGGCCATCCTACTCGTGGTTCTTTTTTTCGTCTCCGGGGCTAGTGGGCAGATTTCGGGGGGCGAAGTTACGCGCAGCTGAGGTCTAGCGTAATTGATCGCTTGCAGACACACCCTTCTTCCAGGCAGACATGTCTCAATTGCGTCAGTAGTAATGAATTCGCACCTGCCGTGCTCGCAGTATCAGCCACGGCTCAAGCATCAATCGCGGGACAGCCTATTGCCTTAGCACGGATTTTCGGCATTTGTCGACGCCATGTCCTCGTACAAGTCCACTCGAGGCCAGGCACGGAGGCAGCTGCTTCCAGACATCTCCCTTCTGGCAGCTCCAGCTCTCAAGGCGTCCTCGCTGAATCCTCCACTTGCCGTGCTACCTGAGGCTGCAGCAGCAAGCAGCAGGAAGCGTAGCGACCTAGCGGTGGCAGTACCGCCTCGCACGTCCTTCTCATCTTTCTGGTCGCAACTTTCTCCCCTACCTGCTACCGCATGTCCGACTGCAGAGCCTGGAGGTGACGCTGCTGATCAACCTACTGGCCAAATAACGGATTCACATGCTGAGAGTGTCAGCTCCGGTGAACAGTATCAGTCGGACGAGAGCAGTGAGATGGTGACGCCGACATTGACAATAAGTGGTTCGTGGCAAGTGTTTCCTCTGTCGGTGCCATCTGCAACCTTATCATCATCCTTGTCGCCATCCTCCTCTTCTCCTTCATCTCTACCATCTCCTTATTCCGCAACGGAATCCGCATCACCACCAATGTCACCACCTTCGCCTACAACATTACTGCACGCCAACAATCCTTTTGCTGGCGAATCCCCCTGCGCGGACAGTAGCGACCCTCATTCCGCGAGTTCTCTTGCAGTGGCCAAGATCAGGAGGGCGAGAGAGCGGGAGAGAGCGGACCGGCTGGAGCTTGAAGTTTCTGCACTGAAGGCGGAGCTGGCAGCATCACGGGAGGAGACGCGCATGAAGGTGGAGGAGTACGAGGCAGCCATTGACGCCCTCAAGGCTTCGCTGGCCCGGCTGATGCGAGAGCACGCAGAGGAGCTGGAACAGCTGCGGGCTCTGCTGGAAGAGGCAGCATCTGCTGCCAAGGCCACCCTTGCAGACGAGGCATCAAGCGTGGAGGGTGTCCAGCCTGACTGCGAGGAGGGCGGCATGGGCGCTGCAGATGCCAAGGATATGGCCGGATGGCATGGGGACGAGGCCGATGGCAGAGGATGTGAAGGACGCACAGGGGGAGAGGATGTGGAGGATGAGGAGGGGAAGGAGGGGAGCAGCATGGTGGAGCGAGAGAAAGGTAGCAGGGAGACTGGCGCCGATGTTCGTGTGGTGAGAGAATGGAGTGATGATGGTAGCACGTGCAGCAGCATGGATGGCTGCAAAGTGGAAGCTCTCAGTGAGGCAGTGGTGCTGATCCAAGGATGCGAGCCAGCAGAAAAAGGCGAGGAGTGGACGAAGGCACATGGGAGCGTGGAGTGGCTGCAGCAGCAGTTGCAGGAGAGCCAAGCACGAGTGGCAGAGTTAGAGCAAGAGGTGGTGGTGCTGGGAGAGCGGCTGCTGGAAGCCAGGAAGCGAGTGACAGCAGGCATGGTGCAGATGGAGATGATGAGCCTGGGAGGCGGAAGGACCAGACTCCATACCTTGCCTGATCTGGATGCGCATGCTGTGGAGACGCCTGACTGTGATGATGACTATGATGACGGTAGCACCTGTGATGGTGCTGACATTTTGTGCGTACAAGAAATCGCATCTGCCACCACTTCTGTTGCAACTGCTCGGGCTGACATCTGTCTCTCCATGGATTCAGTCAGCAGCCAAGTGGATATCGAGGAGGACCACGTCTGCAGGACTGACGATCAAGCCAAGGCTATCAGAGCACATGCTGCAGTGAGTTCTTCTGCGGATGCCCATGGCAGCAGTAGTTCGTTGGGACCCTGTGAAGCAGTAGATGTGGGAGCTAGTGACAGCCTTGGAGAGACGGCGGAGGGTGAAGAGCCTGCCAGCGTCTTAACAGAGAGGAAGGTTCGGTTCAGAGAATGTGTGGAGGTCTTTGGGAGTGAGGGCGAATCCTTGGTCTGCACAGAACACATGCTGCTCTCAGAGGAGGGAAGCTGGGACTGGCTTGACCGAAAACGGACGCGAGACAGGCAGAGCGAGTGGTGGCCCACTGGGCAGAGTGTGAGGGAGCAACGGAAGCTGACAGAATCCGTCTCAGATAACGGCTACGCCTGGCGGGATTTAGAGACACAGTCTGAGCACGGATACGACTGGGAGATCGGGTACGCCACGAACGACATGCTGGGGGAACAACGGAATGGGCAGCAAGGGAAGCGGAGGGAGATGCTGGTGGAGCAGATGGAGGCTCAGGTGCAGTGTGTGGAGGAACGGCTGGGGGAGTACTGCTCCGACGTTGCAGGGCACATGAAGGTGGACGTGCAGGCTCTGGCGCTCCAGCTGCTCTATGGGATGGAGAGCTGGCAAGGCTGGAAGAAGAAGAAGGGCTCAGCTGCGGTTCCAATGGAGGCACGGGATACACGTGCTTGTGCTGCGGTTTCTGGTGCAGACAGCGCAGCGGCTGCAATTGAGAGCTGTGATGAGGCTTGTACGGAGTCTGGGTTTGTCCCACGACCGCTAGATGTGGTGGCAGCGTGTGTGAGCGAAGTCATGTTTGAGGATTTCGAGTGCGATGGGTTCCAGAGAGCAGCATACTGTGAATTTGTGACTGAGAGCGAGAGGTGTGCTTGCAACTATGACAGGTTCCTGGTGCAGCGCTGGAGGCGGGGGCCCATGCATCCTTTGAGGGAACCAAAGTTCGTGAGTTTTTGTGAGAGGAAGGCGGAGAGGGTTGCTGATGTGCTGGTGGGGGCGATGCTTGCTCTCTCACCGTTGCCTGAGAAGCATGCCGTCAGCTTATCCAGGAGTGATAGCTCTGGCAGCAATTCCACCAGCAGTAGCAGCAGCAGCAGTGACAGTTTCAGCATGGAGGACAGCACAGACAGAGACTCCCCTCTTAGTGGAACCACATGGGCGACAGACACCATATCCAGTGACGAGGCTTGCCATAATGGCAGCAACAGCTGCAACAGTGGCAACAGTGGTGGTGATGGTGGCATAGACACGATACTCTGTGGCAGTGACATTCTCTCAGAGAAGTTTGTGGCTCTTGCTCGAGCAGTATGGGCACTTCATGCTCTGGCATGGGCTTTTTCAGAGCCCGCTCGTATTTATCGTCTTCAGCCGTTTTCACCCTTCAACTCATCCTTCATGAGGGCTGTGAACCGCGAGTGGATTGTGCATGGGGCGCTTCACAAGCAGCATATGGCGGCCTTTGCCATTTTGCCAGCATTCGTTGTTGGAGGTGTGGTTCTATGTGGGAAGGTCATTATCACCGTTCAGGAGAAACACAGATGGTTGGAGTGAGCCAGGAACACATTAGCGTGTCAGCTGTTTGCGTAGATGGGATAGGGGGCTAGAAGTCTCATCGCTGCATGGTGCTGTGCCTCCTCCCCACAACCAATTTAGTCGAAAGCTGCCTTTTGTGGCTTAGTAAGAATGTTCATGTTTCAGATAAATAATAAGAAGGCACACACCTCAAGGAGTGTACCGCGCGCCAACCACCCTGTCCAGACCTGTCTTGCCATTCGGTTGTTGTGGGGCGGATGAGCTGTTCCCACCGAAATTTGTGGTCCCTCTTGCTCCGACGCGCACCAACTGCAGTAATTTAGGCCAACCGAAATCGAGAACGGCACGCGTCAGTGGACCACAGCACTGGCACATCGGGAACTTCAACGGCTCACCTACCCTATTTTCCGCCAGAGCGCTGACAGCCTCCACGGTTGAAACCCTGCCATCCACGTGTCAAGGGCAATCCCAACGACCTCTGCACGAACAGCGCACTGAATGCGCAGCTTTCAGCCAAACAGGTGTAACGCTCAGGACTTCAGCCGAGCTGAAATACCGAGCTGTAAACGGGTGAGATATATCCCACCAGAGATTTTGTCAGCTGACAGCCGTCGATCTCGACAGCGTAGATTGTGAAAGTCGGTGATTTTGACAGGCAATGGTTCGTCGTCAGATTCCATCCAATCCGTTTTGATGCGAGCGTCGGCATCCATCCGCGCTGCCAGCTTGATGGAGGTAGGCGTGGTGTGAATTGTCCTGGAGGGTGGAGAGGGCAGATTCAAAAGAGTCTTGGGAACTTTGGGTGAGGTGAGGCACTCCATTCATCGCTACTGTACTGGAAAACAGATTCTCCTTCCCACCATCCCTGACAGGGACCCCACGTGGGTCTGTTGCACGCACATATCTAGTCACTTTTCCCCCATATCTTTCCTAGTTCGCAACTCCTGCGACGTTTTCTCCTCTCATTAGATTCAGCGACACCAGTGCTGTAGTCCTAGGGATTTTTCCACGGATCCACAAAACCGTCTACGTTGAAGCTGAATTCACCGAGCGACACGATGCCGCAGGGACCGCACGGCAAGCTAGTGCAGAACCTCACGCTGGAAGGACTGCTCAAGACGAAGGACATGCCGGTGCCGCTTCGATCCGCCATACGAGCTGAACACGCGGCTCTGGAGAGCCTCCGCCAGTGCCACTCAGATCTCGACCGCTACACATATCTCCGCAGTTTGAGAGAGAAGGATGAGCAACTGTTCTACAGCCTCCTAATCAACAATGCTCAAGAGATCCTTCCCTTTGTTTACACTCCTACAGTCGGCGAAGCCTGTCAAAAGTACAGCCACCTCCCGATCGTCACTCGCGGCCTCTACATCACTCCCGCGGATCGCGGACAAGTGCTTGAGAAGCTGAAGACATGGCCGGAGAAGAAGATCCGCGTGATCGTGGTGACAGATGGAGAGCGAATCCTGGGCCTGGGCGACTTGGGGTACGGCGGCATGGGGATCAGCGAGGGCAAGATCCTTCTGTACACGGTGATTGCGGGCGTGGACCCGCAGCAGTGCCTGCCCATCTGCCTGGACGTGGGCACCAACAACGAGTCGCTGCTGGCGGACCCGCAGTACAAGGGCCTGAAGCAGAAGCGGCTGCGCGGCGAGGAGTACGACGCGCTGGTGGACGAGCTGATGGTGGCCGTGCGCGCGTGGCAGCCGCACATCCTGCTGCAGTTCGAAGACTTCGGCAACACCAACGCCTTCCGCCTGCTCGACCGCTACCGCGGGCTGCAGTGCTGCTTCAACGACGACATCCAGGGCACCGCCTGCATCACCCTCGCCGGAATCCTCTCCGGCCTGCGCGTCACGCGAGGGAAGCTTCAGTGGCAACGCATTGTCTTCCTCGGGGCTGGCGAGGCCGGCACGGGAATCGGGCATCTGATCGCACAGGCGATGCACAAGCGGTGCGGGGTGCCGCTAGAAGAGGCCATGCGCAACTGCCTGTTCGTGGATTCCAAGGGCCTCGTCTGCAAATCGCGAACCGAGCTGCAGCACCACAAGCTGCCGTTCGCCCATGACATTCCTTTCCAGCCTGACCTCTACTCTGTCGTCAAGGCATACAGGTGAGAAAAGTGACGTGGCTGATCATTATCTGTCCTGTGTTTTCCGTCTCCCTCCCCCTTGATAGAGTTTGAGCCATGCTTTAAGAGTGTTGGTCCCTGTGCTTCTGTTTCACCTGCCTGATTATTCCACAGGCCAACGATTTTGATTGGCGTGTCGACCATCGCGGGTGCGTTCACACGCGAGATCGTCGAAGCCATGGCAGCGATCAACGATCGGCCCATCATATTCCCGCTCTCCAATCCGACCTCCAAGTCCGAGTGCACGTATCGGGACGCCTACAACTGGTCCGGCGGCCGCGTCGTGTTCGCCTCGGGAAGCCCGTACCCTCACCTGAATACGCCCTCTGGCGTTACCATGTACCCGGCTCAGGCTAACAACGCGTACATTTTCGGGCCTGTGGGTATGGCGGCGCTGCTTACCAACTGCCGCCAGATCACGGACGACCTGTTCATGGCTGCCGCGGAGTACCTGGCGGATCTCACCCCGCAGGATAATCTCGACGTGGGAATGCTCTTCCCAAGCTTCTCGGCCTTCAAGGTAAGAGAATTTGGACTATTCCTCCCTCGCCTCAGTTTCGTCACCCTTTTGAGGCTGGAAAGTGTCCTTTCACCTCCCGCCTTCCCTTGCTTGCTTCCCCATTCCGCGTCCCTTCACCCCAGCGCCACGCTAAATCTCCCTGCGCGCCCTGCCCTCTCTTTCCCCCGGCTCAGTCCCTTGTGGTGCCGCTGGTGGCGCGGACGGCGGAGTTCATCGTGCGGGAGGGGCTGGGCGTGGCGCCCAAGGGAGTGAAGAACTGGGAGGAGGCGGTGCGCGCGGCCATGTACCATCCGTCAGGCGTGCGCTCCACCACCCCGCGCGCTGCCGCCGCCATCAAAGTGGCCAACCACCCAGTCTCCGAGGTGCATAGCCGCTTGGGAACGCCGGGTGTGCGCAGCCGGTTGTGATGTGGCTGGATGTGGCTGGCATTCGTAGCACACGTAGCACGGTGGCGTTGTAGGGGCAGTTCGGGGGGCTTGGAGAGTAGATGGAGTGAGGGGAGAGAGAGAGAGCATGACCAGTTTAGGTGCTGGCACGTGGCTCATTCGCTTGTCTGATACCCCCGTGAGTATGGAAATGTGGGCTTTCTTAAGCAGTAATAAGAAGCACGAGCTTTTCTCCACTTTCGTCCGGAATTTCGTAACTTTTTCCCATCCCAATGCACCATACTCCTTCTAGATGCCTTCACTTCACCCCACGTTTTCCCGCCACTGTCCCCGTCCCCTACCGTTGAACACGCCTCCCATATCCACTGCTCCCACTCGCTTGGGCCTCTTCAAACCGTCCACCGCATGCTGACCCCGTTGCTGGTCATTCAGAAGGAAAGAGCGACAGAGGGAGGATGGAGAGGGCGAAGAGGTTAGGGGCCGTGGGAAAGAGTTAAGGACAGAAGTGTTGAAGCGATAATCGTTTCAAGCCAGTGACCTCAAGGGGGTTGTGTGTGCTGTGCCCCATGTGTGGTGTGCGGTGTGCACGATGGGCAGGTCCACTGGGAGGACATGAAGGAGCTGGTGCAGCTGCGGGAGATGTACACGGACCTGCAGCGATACCTCTTCCTCAGAAACCTGCAGGTACGGGTGGGACCAGGGGATGACATGGAAGTGGGCTGGGTGGGGGGACAAGAGTCGGGAAACCATGGGACGTATGGATGCAACTGCACTAATAGACTATGCGCCATTGCACGCGGCAAACACACCAGATGGCACGAAAGGGTAACGGATTTTGGAGTTCCTAGAACCCGGAGCCCCAACTTTGGATCCTAGTAACACACGCCACCTCTTGGTATCCCTCCTTCCGTTTGGAATACAGGAGAAGAACGTGCAGGCGTTCTGGCAGCTGACGATGAACAACGCGCAGGAGATCCTGCCGTTCGTGTACACACCCACTGTGGGCGAGGCCTGCCAGAAGTACTCCCGCCTGCCCATCAACTCGCGTGGCCTCTTCCTCTCCCCCGCTGACAAGGGCACCATTCTTGACCAGCTCAAGGCGTGGCCCGACCAGAACATCCGTGTGATTGTGGTGACTGATGGCGAGCGAATCCTGGGCCTGGGCGACTTGGGGTACGGCGGCATGGGGATCAGCGAGGGCAAGATCCTTCTGTACACGGTGATTGCGGGCGTGGACCCGCACCAGTGCCTGCCCATCTGCCTGGACGTGGGCACCAACAACGAGTCGCTGCTGGCGGACCCGCAGTACAAGGGCCTGAAGCAGAAGCGGCTGCGCGGCGAGGAGTACGACGCGCTGGTGGACGAGCTGATGGCGGCCGTGCGCGCGTGGCAGCCGCACATCCTGCTGCAGTTCGAAGACTTCGGCAACACCAACGCCTTCCGCCTGCTCGACCGCTACCGCGGGCTGCAGTGCTGCTTCAACGACGACATCCAGGGCACCGCCTGCATCACCCTCACCGGAATCCTCTCCGCGCTCCGCGTCACCAAGGGCGAGCTGAACCAGCAGAAGATCCTCTTCCTGGGTGCGGGCGAGGCCGGCACGGGTATCGGGCATCTGATTGCGGAGGCAATGCACAAGCGGTGTGGCGTGCCCATGGAGGAGGCGCTGCAGCACTGCCTGTTCGTGGACTCCAAGGGCCTCGTGTGCAAGTCCAGGAAGGACCTGCAACACCACAAGCTGCCCTTCGCCCATGATGTGCCGTTCCTCTCGGACCTCCTCTCTGTCGTCAAGACACACAAGTAAGCTTGCTCTCCCCCGCTCTGTGATTCCCCCACTCTGTGTCCTTTCCCCCCCCCCACCACCCGCCCTTCCTCCGGTGCTCGCTTGCTGCTCGTCTCCCCTGCTCTTTCTCTCCCTCTTTGCTTCCCCCCTCTTCCTCTAACCTCTTGTTCCTGTCTTCTACCATCTCGCTCCCCCACGACGTTTCGCCATCCACATGCCTTGAACCGCTTCCCCTGTTCTCCCCTCCCAAACTCCACATCCTATGGTGTGCAGGCCCACCATGCTGATCGGAGTGTCCACTATAGCGGGCGCCTTCACATCGGAGATCCTGGAGACCATGGCGGAGCTCAACGAGCACCCGGTCATCTTCC